ATGGAAGAAAAGTCAAAATTAGCTGAAATATTTTGGTCCAGGTGAATAAAAGAATATTTGCCAAGCCTGTTGAAAAGAGGAAAATGGTTGGAATATGGAAAACATGTGGTGGTTTTTTCGACACCTCAAACAAAAGTAAGAGATGCATGTAATAGCACAGACAGACAAATTATGTGCATCAACAAAGAGGTCGTCAATTCGAGCATTCAATCTAGACTGCATTTTATGTATTGTTTTTATTTTTCCCCCAAAAAATCATTGTAAAACAAATTGTTTTTCTGTTTGATTGTTGTAACTGATGATGCTCCTCATTTTAAATGAAATGTTTCAAAAATATCTATTGTGATTTTATCGCTTTATCAATATTTGTAATAAAAGAGATAGGTCCGTATTTGAAAAAAAAAAGTTCATGGTGGCCGTGTTGACACGAACCGTTTGGTTGAAGATTTATTGTTACATCGTTATAGTACCTTCGGAATACACTTATACTTTCCTTTTCCAGTTTTTTATATTTTCTGAAATAATTCTATTCTTATAAAATCTAAAACATCATTTTTAGTTTTTCCTGTATAACTCAAGAAGGGAGAATGTCCCTGTATTTTTTTGACAATTGTACTGTTCCCCATGATAGTTGCCCTTTTTCCTAGTTAATCCTTTACATATCTGTTACCATATAGAATATAGCAATGTTACCACATGATAAAAAACAGTCTGTATAATATATTCATAATTCACAATAGTAAACTGTTAAAAATTAATGTAACAATAGATAGATATTAATTATATAATCAACATTATTTCATAGGTGTATAGTGTTATGCGCCCCTCATAAGCATGAAACATAACAGTAACATTACAAAGCATTTTCCATGTATAACATTGAAACATAAGTTGTGTTAGAATGATGATATAAATATGAATCATATTATCGTTACAGCTGATTAACGAAAAAACAGAACAGATTTTTAAACAGTACAGAAATGTTTGAATTGTTATTCAAATATGATACAGGAAACGCTATCCACATCCAGCTTCGCCTGTCCTTGTCGTCGATCATTTTTCTACTGTGTTGTGTTACAAAAACATTCGGTCATTTCAAAAATGTTCGGAAATTTATTCTTTAGTCATATCAACATCATAAAATCCCCATAACTATTAAAAAGCAAATAAAAATAAGGTATAAAAATATTTCTATGACTTTTTGAGGTTAGTAAAGCATGGAAAATGCCTACTAAAGATAAGTAAAAATGATTTTTATATCCTGACTTCTGAAGGCAACAGACTCGGTATACTTTTCTTCGGGCTAATAAGTAGAACAAACTAATAGTGCATTTATGCACCAGTTTTAAAAGTCGTATATCAAGTCTAAAGGACTAATGTTTTTCATTTATTACTACTGAAAATTTACATCTCGTGCAAATAGGTAATTTGAGTAAGTATAATATAAGATAATATATATGCTTGTGGATGAATGTTTTCACTCAAAATCAATAATTAACTGCTTACGATTCACAACTCACATTTGGATTCTTAAAACCACCCTAACCTGTTACCTATATTACAATGATAATAAATATTTCCTATCAGTTAGCATATAGTTGACATTCTATAAATTTTTTTCAAGAAAAACATTAGAAAGTTTTTCATACGTTTTGTTGATATATTTGCTGAATAACATTGTCAATGATACAAAAAAAAAAAGAGTTACTTCTTTTGGAATTGATTGCTTCCTTCCTTTCCTTGGAAGATTCCCATATTTTTTGTATCAAGATGGGGTGGTAGAAAGCCAAAAACTTTCTTTCCCAAAAATTAATCACTTCTAAAAAATGTAACCATCTATAAATTTTTTTCAAGAAAAACATTAGAAAGTTTTTCATACGTTTTGTTGATATATTTGCTGAATAACATTGTCAATGATACAAAAAAAAAATCATAACTCATACGTCATATGTGCTTTCCGAAATTTATATTTTGTTAGCTCAAAGAAAATTACGCTTCTTAGTTGGAAGCAAGGACAATTATAATATAGAAAACATTGAAAGGAGAATTACCTCATATTAATAAGTTATTGGGGTCGAAGTTCTGAATTAGGAAGCTTATTATTAGTTTATAACACAGCTCTACACATTTCCATTGAGTAATTTGATTTTTTTATTTGTACAGAACACTTTCAATAATAGAAACATCGCTACTGCCTCATAACACCAATAACACCATAACACCAATAAATTTCGCACTTGAGTCAATATTTCAAGATATCTGGTTGATAACTTGTTATTCAAAAAATAAATACAATGTAATTAAAAAAGGTCTGACACATTCAAATCTCTTGAATTTTTTAGGATATATAGTACTTCTGACACAAAAGTAATGAAGACTATTAAAGAAATGAACCCACAGTTTCTTGTGATGATTATATGCACCTTTATCTAATGTTGAACGAAAGTAATGAGAAAAAGCTAGATATGAAAAGACAGCATTTTCGAAGAACAAAAAAAAAGAATGTAGCAAGTTGGAAAATTAGATATTGAAGTTGCCCATTTTAGCTTATTCAAAAGTATTGAAATTTAGGTAATTAAAAAAAAAGCTGGAATTCGTCAATTGACTTTAACTTCTTTTTGATGATATTTAGAGGGCATTTGAAAATTAAAACTCTTTCATTGCCACTTTAAGGGCTGATCAAGATAGCATTCATAGGTTTTGGAACCGAAGTTTCGTCTCCGAGAAACCATCATCAAATTCAATTTTTTATATAGCCTGTGAAAAATAATCACCCCATATTACTTAGCTTTTTTGGAGACAATGAGCGGAATTCATAAGCGTGAGCAAATGCTTCTACTCAATTTTTTTTTAAAAGAACATACATTTTGTACAGCTAAAAAAGAAAGATGAAAAGATAAAAGTATTTTATCGTGTTTGTTGCTCGGAATTTCCTAAATTCTAAATGATAATATTTGACATTTGAATAAGTTCTAAAATGGTCAATTTTCTCCCAATGTAACTGACTTTGTATCTCTTAGGGTTTCCGATTTTCTCATGCTGGCCCTCCTTATTATTTATATAATGTGTCCAACAACACTTTATATGAAAAATAACAATGAAAATACATTTTTTTGCCATTATCTCTATTTACAATTGAGATTCTGAAGATGAACTCAAACTAATTACTTTGTTTTTCATTTCCATCATTTGTGGGAGATAGAAAATTCCCATGAAAAAAAATGAATGAAAAAACTCTTAACTGTGAAAAACACAAATGATTCGTGTTTGAAAACTGGGCAATGCTCGTTTCTGCATGTAAGAGTTAGTAATTTTATTTGTTTGCCTAACACTTTGGGAATTAATGATATTTTCAGAATTTTTATTGAATAAAATGTTGATAGGTGTAATTAGAAAAAATGACTTTCGTTGAATGTAGGTTTTATTTTGTAGATGTGCAATAAGAAAGGATTTTCAAATATTCCAATTAGTGCGTCCCTCTAGAGATTAAAGGAGCGTGTTTACATGTGAAAATTACATTTTCATCACTGTTTCTTCGTACCGCTATATTTTTCGAGGCTGGGGTGTCCTCACTGGGGATAAAAGAGGCGCGTTTACATATGAAAATTACCTTTTCATCACTGTTTCTCCATGCCCTTAAATTTCCGGAGGGTGAATTAATTTTTAGTATCAGCAATGCACCCCTGCGGAACCGGAGCGGATTGCCAGGATAAATAATAAACAATAAAAAATATTAAATGAATCATATTCAATTTGAACAAGTTATAAAAGAAGTGGGATAGTAAGTATCCAGTTTGAAAAATAATTCTAAGTAATTACAGTACAGAATTTTTAAACTGCTCTTTCACCATAGCCAAGTGCTTGCGCTTATCACATGATATGAAAAGATCTATTGGAAGCACCTTATGACAGACACATTTTAAAAATCAGCTCAGCAAGGCAACACAAAAAATTGAAAATGGGTAGTACCTTAAAAACGGCGATGACGTCATTTTACCATTTAAAAAACAGAAAATCAAGAATGAAAATCACCAACGTATTCAAAAAACACTTTGTGAGATTTCAGTAAAAATACTGAATACATTAGTTATGGATTTTCATCAAGTATCATATATCTGAAAATCATCAGTTTCGAGGATTATTATTAATATTATATACTGTTCGTATAACTTCGACAGAATTCATGATGATATAAAAACAGACATGAAAACAATTCAAGATTGACTACAAGAGAATACATCCCCTCAAAATTTACAAAAATATTCGTATATGAATATTTCTAAAAGATTATTGAACATCTGTACCAATCCTATAATGATTAATAACAATAAGTTATACCAATTCTATTGAATTCCTAGAATTATATATTGATGAAAAGTTATCGTGATAAAAACATATTGAAATGATTTGAAAAAAAATTATAAATCCTCATTGATATTCTATTCCTCCTAAATTTTTGAAAACAATTTATTTCAGTCTTATATACTCACAACTGCATTTTTTTTATTTGGAGATTAGCCAATAGATCCACAATATTACCTTAGAAAACTTTTCATTTCATTTCATAGAAATCAATAATATTCATAACACTGGACAAACAAAATTATTATCAGTTAGTGGTTCAAATCCAATTTGGATAGAAATTGATTCATCTTGATGGAGTTATAATATTCGTCAAGAAATAAAAAAAAATCTAAAACTGATCACAAATTCAAAAATCAGTTGTGAAAGTACTCACTGAATTAAATTGAAAATATATGTTTGCTCATATCAATTACTTGTGTTTTCTTGTTCGATATTTCATTATTTTGTTGAATTTATATCTTTGTTAATCCCTATTCTAAACATTGAATGTTTCTTGGGATAATAGAGACAATACAAAAGTTATTATTGATATTTCATCTTCAATGTCAATCTAAAATATCAAAATATTTTCAGTCACCCTACAGGATCTGAAAGTACTGTTTTAAATAAAAAAATTGAACTGTTCATTAAATTACCTCGAATTGCATTCATATATTCCAGTTATCACTTGATCAGGAAGTCTTCTATAAATGTAACCTACAGAGTTAGGATCCACATCTTTTCCGATGTATTTAGCCCCCTCAAGAGTAAGTTTCCAGCATGCACACTTTGTTTTATCCTAAGGAAAGAAGATTTATTCAACATTGTATGTCAGAGATCTGATAATGCAACTCACAATACAATCATCATCACAGTCACATCCACACAAAAATTCTGTTTCTAAATTCATATGGACACCTTCCATAGGAACTCTCTTAATAGAATAGTTACAAAAATCTAGCATTTCATTATTGATGCCATTGATAACCGGTATAGCAACTTGTTCAAGTCCTAAAACAGAAAATAGTTGAACTAATTCAATAAGTCAAGATTATGGTTCTCTTGACCTCTTGATAGATCCTTGGGATCTGGATTGCACTCAACGTTAAACTCTGCAAGACATCTTACCATATGGTTGAAGTCAAAAAGATCTACTGTCATTTCACTGCTGGTAAGCCTGAGATAATAGTGAACTTCAGCAATATTTCGGAGTAATCTACCACAAGGGGCTTTGTAAATGATCTCTTTTCTACCTTTAGCTTTCAACGTCATCCTTCCCCATCCACACAATAACGGCTTGGAAAGAGGATTGTGACCTCTTAGCTGATTGAAGTTGTGAATCAGATAGTCTTTGCACTTAGGAGAACATGTGTGTGGTCTATATATGCGCTTTATAATAACTTGTTCACGTGGTGTGAAGTACTGCAAAAGAGATTTTTTTTGTATTTCTAATACAATATTTGATAAAAGATTTTTACCATTATTTTACTAGTAGGACCAGTTATATTCACTGGAGTACTGTTGACTGGAGGGAGGAATGGCACAATGTTCGGAATTGGTGTATTACCTTGAGGCCTTGTAGTGCTTTTTCGAGCAACAGCTCTCACGTTATTTGTAGGAGATTCTTGGGATCTTGGAACAAAATCGTTATTTCGAGTATACTGAACAACTGTAGCAGATTCATTCTGGAAATAATTAAAATTTCAACTTCATCTTCAACAAAATTAAAATTCCACTTACATGACCTAATTTTCTAGATGTTCTGACACCAGTGTGTCTATTAGTAGCAGCTTGTTCTTCTTTAAACATTGGACTAAGTCTCGTGGAGCCCCTGTATATCCACTCAGTTCTGCTAAGATTATCAAAAAATACTTGTACTAAAGAACAATCAACACTCATGACAGTACACAACCACCATTTACCTACAACATGTGTTACCTTAGAAATTACCTTGAAATTTTGTCCAAATTTTTAAATTACCTTTATATTCTACTCTGAGAGTTTGATCTTTGGCCAATTTCACCATTGGTCTGTCTTGACTCTCCAGATACTTTTTGATGAATGCCCGTGAGTCAACATACACATCTTCCCAAACATTTGGGCTGGTTTCCAGAACTAAGTTTACACAGTGGTAACTAACATATTGAGAATATCCAATATCGAAAAAAATCAAATATCTGAAACATATACTTCTGATGCACTGTTTGGAACCTTTGGTGTAGTAATGAATATTACTGGAGTTTTATCCCAACACCAAACCGTTATTTTTAATACTTTGACACATGTTTCGATCACCAAGTGATCATCTTCAAGAAGAAGATGGTAAGGTGTTGAAAATAACGGTTTGGTGTTGGGATAAAACTCTAGCGATATTCATCTGAAACATATGTTCAAAAATTGTTAAGTTAATAGTTGCGTTTAACAAAGGTTTTTTGTCATTTTATCCACAAACAACAAGTATCAATCAGTATCAATCTTTCAAGGTACACTGTAAACAACTCCTTTTTTAAAGGAATTTTTATTAAAGTGAATAGTCAAAAATAACACACCTGAACTTATTTCCCTCAAAAGGTTGTTCTCCCACTATACCCGCATAGTAAGGATCATGTCTAGGCTTCTTAGTTTCTCCCATATTATTTGTCTCCTTGAAAACAGAAATAACTCTTGTACCTACAGGTAACCTAACCTTGCTGAATGATAAGTATGCTATACTTTTGCCACTGAGCAGACGTTCTTTCTGTTGTTTGAGCTCTATCAGACGGTAGAAGTTTGTACTGTACGTTATTCCATTATGAGGAGTGCCAGGTGGTATGATAAGTTGTAAGCGAGCCCTGATCCAAGAGCTCTGAGAGTTTTCACGAACAATGTAATATGTTTCACCTGAAATGATTCAATATTTGGAAGTTACTGAAACTGCTCTTTGAGAACATATAAGAAATATCGTTAAGACAAAAAGAAACTTCGATGAAACAATGATATGTAGAAAATGTTTGATAATGGAAATAATACATTAAATAAAGAGAGGGAAAATATTTTCACACTTCTCATATTGAAATTGTGCGCAAAAGTACATTGTTTACAAAACATCATCTATTTGATTTATGAAAACGGAGTAAAGAAACAGATGTGATACCCCGAATTATGATTTCTAAGAAATGAATTGAAACAAATAAAATTTGAAATAGGTGTAAACAAAGGCAATGAAACTAAACTGTTTGTCACCATAATCTGAAAAAATTAATATATGGAAAAAATATCAAGTTATTTTAATCACTTTAATAATTCCTCGACATATATCCCATTGCTTGTACCTAATATTTTAGAAATATTTTACAGATCTTTAACCACGTTTTGATTTTCTTTTGATAGAAGTCGAATTGCATGTTCACTGATGACCAATACATTTGTGAAATATTCACCCTTTCAGATTATAGCATCATTTTCAATACACTAAAATCACTTCTTTGATGAACTTTAATAACGCTGAATGTATTGACATATGAGATGCACACTATTCTGCTACTTAATTAACAACTGAATGGTTGTGATGTTCCTGCTTCTAGTCTTGAATGATAATTTTCAAGTAAGTAAGTATTTGTTCTCTGCGATGAACTGGATGTTTTCTTCTATTCTGTTGATATGAATCGCTCAATTTGATCATAATCTCTGTTAAGTTTGATTCAGTAATTATTAAATATTCAAAGGATCCAGTAGGTTCGCAGACAAACAGCGAATAGTACCAGTTGTTGACATGTGCAGTTATGTACTTGTTTTTGAATATATGTGTCACGTTGACTTACAATATGTTTAACACCCTCTGAAGAGTATGTTCCGCTGAATAATCAAAGGCTTTATTTGCTGAATAATCAAACGCTAACAGGTTGTGGGCCCAAAAAACATTCACTGCTGCTATTGGTCACAACATATTCTCAGAGAGGAATACAAGGAACCAAATATGAGTCGACTGATTGCCATTCTCATTGAAACATTACAGAAGTAAAATTTTGACACTTAGAAGCTACAAATAAAAATGTCCTTCAATATGATGGCATACCTCAGGAGTCAATCGTTGGAACTATCCTTTTTGTAATATATGTGAATGATATTGTTGCAAGATGATGACCTACGGCGGTGAAGGACTCTACCCTTAGTTTAGCAATGATGCGACGACGTATTGTCACTATCACAAACACAAGGCGTACGGAGCGAGAGAGAGGACCGCAGTAGCTGAGTCCGACTTGACAATTTTGATGATGTTACCATGTATTATATTTGATGATGTTAGCATGTATTATAATAGACAGTTGTTAATGAGACCTGATTGGGAAAGGACCCACATGTACAACTCCTAGACAATAAATCTAGTATCAAGTATTCTGGTGTTTCCCTCATAAGGCTACCCCTGAGCAACCCCCATCCCGCGAAAGTCAGTGAAAATTAGTAAAAATGTTACAACTTGATATTAACTAGACTTCGGATCGAAAGCGTTTCACCCACTGCAAGTGAAAACGAAGACTCCAACGAAGAATTTCAGAGCCCAGAACCAGAAACCAAGATTGCAATAGAAGAAGTTTTCACTTCGGTTACACCGAAAACGTTTACAGGCAAGCCAAATGAAAATGTGAAAGATTTTTTCGAAACATTCAATAGAGCTGCAAAGGCAAATCATTGGTCAGACGGAACAAAATGTTTGCAAGTTCCCTGCTACCTTGAAGGAGCTGCTATAGACATTTATGAAACAATTGAGAGTGAATGTACTACTTTTGAAGACATAAAAACAAAATTGAGAGCCGCTTTCAAAAGTTTTACAAAAGGAGAACAGTGTTATTTTCAACTACTAAACCGAAAACAAGGACAGAAGACATTTGGACATTTTTACACAAAATTCTAAAATTGTGTTTTTCGGTAAACCCGAAAGTGAGAAAATTGGATTTGTTTTTGGAGGACTTGAACCTACCCTGTTAGAAAAGGTGAACCTGATGAAGAATGACTCTATGGAAGCTCTTCGAGATAATCTACAGACTTCATGCTAGAGAGAGGAGGAGATGGTCCTTCGTCTACTGCAACCCGCCCATCCACTTCCAAAGATGTGTTCCAGAGAGGCCCAGGCAACTACCAAAGGACGGCAGAAGAAGAACTTGAGGACCTGCAGAGGAGCATCAACCAAACAGGTTGATTAAAAAATCTTTCATTAAAATTAGGGATAGGGATTCTTGGCATAATTAAAATGTTAAAGTTAAAAAAGAAGGTCGTATACCCGACGGCAAGATTATATGTTTTACATGTGGATAAGTAGGGAATTATTAAAAAAATTCCTATTCAAAAAACGGAACACCCCGCCACTAAATTTTATTATCAATCTTTCAGATGTCAACAATATTTTAGATGTAGGAAAATAAATTTGAAAACGGCATCTATTATTTCCACTGAAAATCACATTTCAAGTCCTATAGAAATTGAAAGTAAAAATGGAAAAAACAAAATTCATTGTCTAATCCACACGGGAGCTGAAATTAGTGATCTAAATTCAAAATTTTTGTTATAGTAAGAGGAATTTTATTTAGAATCAAGTCAAATTAGATTACGAAAAATTTCAGCTCATTCCTCTATTAATCATATAGCTTGAATATTAGCAAGAATTTCATTTGGGTATTTTTGTATTTACTTTCCGATTTTAATAGACATTATTTTCATATTTTAAATTTTGCAAATTTTTTACTTAAAACAATTATTTAATTCAATAAATCAGTATTAATTAAGCAAATAATTTTTTATTCATTTTTTTTTTAATTTAGGAGATTTACCCCCCTTCTAAGATTGTTACCTAAATGACTAATTACTAATAGTTTAATTGAAAATAATTTAATTTTTGAATTATTTTATTAAATAGATTTACATTAGTTGGATTATTCATTTGTACAAAAATCCTTAAAATTTTCTAAGGATTAAGGTTAGTACAAACTTTCAACCTTCAAAGTTGACAATATATTTTTATCTAAGCCTTAAAAATTAATTTTACCTTGAAATTTGCAATTTAAAATCATTTTTGACTATAAGATTCTCAGCCATTCCACCGAACTAATGGTTATTCTCGACTAATCATAAAGATATTGGAACTTTATATTTTATTTTTGGAGTATGAGGGGGAATATTACATACTTCATTGAGAATTTTAATTCAAGCAGAATTGGTAAACCCTGAAACTTTAACTGGTAATGATCAAATTTATATCGTTATCGTAACTGCTCCTGCTTTTGTTATAATTTTTTTATAGTTTAACAACTTCAACTTTTCAGACTTCAATACAAATATATGAAAATTCTGATCTGGGAGTCCCAAAGTCACGTTTAATGGGTATTACAGTGTTGCCACGACTTTTGGTACGATAGGAGTCAATTAAATGCCTGAAGTGAAGTGAAAATATACATTATATACACACGCTCGCGCTCCCAATCGGATTTATGATGAACTAACTTACTTCCACTGAATTGTCTATTACTGACATCTGGTAAGGAAAGAAGGGAAATTATCTGAACCAGAACCAAGCCACGAATATATCCTTTAGGAATATATCCGTTAGGTTTCAGTCGTTTATCTAGACAGATATTTACGATGACTATTTTGCGTCCGATATATATATATTTATTGCGCTTCGGTAGCGCACTTTATTTCAGTTATTTTTGAAAGCAGATAAAGCAGATATTTGATTTTTGGTACAGGCATAGACCTTCATGGGCCGCACTTTTCGCAATACTTAGCCCGAGTGACAGCCTTAAAACTGTACCTTATCTGAAAAAGTTGCTTAGAAATCGTTTTGACCCTACAACCAGATTTCAACATATAATTCAAGATTATGTTTTTTTGTAATTTTCAATTAATGGGTTCGAATAAGAAGCTACAGAAATCATAAAATAGTCAATGAAATAAATGTATTGAAATAAATAAAACTGAAACTTATTATTCTATAAAATGTAAGTTATTCGAATTTAGTCTCCTTTACTAGCCTGTTTTCAATTTTGAAGAATTTTTCAATTTCCTATTGATTATGATTGGTTGCGAATTTGCCTAATTTTGGATGAAAAATCGTCATTCTCAAAGTTTCAAAGCAGTCTCATATTTTGTGTTTCAACAATTTTCAATACATTTAATTCATTGATTTTGACTATTTCACATTCATATTCTCGACAGATCTAAACATTTTCGGGCCGCCAGCAAAAAAAGCTTAATTGATTTTATCTGTTGGGATACATCATAAGAAGAATAATGACCCTAAATTTGATAGTTGGGGTACTCTGGAAGTAGCAGTTGGTAATTCTGATTTGTAACCAGTATATGTTCTTTTCAGAACGATTTAAAAGATATGATATAAAAAATAAGAGTTGTTGGCTGAGACCAATGTTTTCCACCTTCATTATTAGTACATTGTGATCTATTCGTCGAATGCTTTTGAAAAATCTGTATAAACAATGTGAATCTGTTGTTGTTTATCGAGTACAAAGCTCAGATAGTGAGAAATCACATCCAGATTCTTCACTGTGGAGCGATTGCTCATGAAACCATGCTCTTCATCTGTTCAATGTTTCGGCTTCTGCTTTCAAGCCATTTTCAAGAACCACTTGAAACTAAATTATATGACTCGACGACGGGGTCGTAATCTCCTTGACCCCCAAGTCTCGTCACTGGTCTTGCTTTGTTCAGTTTCAAGTGAACACTGGTAGCGTTCCTGTTCGGTACTTTTTCGGTAACTTCATGGATGTAAGGGAGAAAAGCTTTTGGCTGGTCAGTCAGTTAATTAGGTAATTCGGGGTGTGGGGTTTGGTTTTGCTGTGGTTTTGCTGTTGTTGAATGGATCTTTGGATTTGAGAGAAAGGATAGTCGTT